AGGGCAGCCAACAGGCTGACAGATGCCCCAGAGTTTATAGGGAGAACTTATTATATCTCAGATTTCAGCTGCTAGGATACAGGATCCCTTTGCAGCGGGCAGTCTAGGGAAGACTGAGAGATGCCCCAACGGATCTGTCACCTGGGAGTGACACGATCCAAAACGCCCAAGCTCTTCCTATACCTGTCCCTTATGACTGGCTGAAGTTCTTTTAAATTGTGCTTGGTTCTGTTACAGCAACTGAAGGAGTCAGGTTAAAGCTTAAACAGTTACAGGTTTATTAAAGAAGCTTATAAATCATATGGTTACAATGGCTATTGCTCTATTTCTTAACTGCTAGCAAATATAGATCTTAAAAATGGTTACAAAGAAAATAAAGATAGAAAATAGAAATAATGGTACCAAGTGACAGCTTAATCTTTAAAGTGCTCTAAGTCTATGTGTACACTTAAGACAAAGGACCACATCCAGGTACAATTTTTACCCCCTTCTGTGCTTCTCAACTGCAGCGGGTCAAGCCAGGGCCAGTCCCTCAATTCCTAGGAAAGATGAATACGAGGTGGGTGTCCCCGTGGAACCTCGGGAGGTCAAACACCTAACCCGACCAGCAGATAGATGGTAGATTGACACTCAGAGTGAGCGTGCTGCTGGACCCATCTTTATACCCATGGGGTCATGTATTTCTCTTTCTTATCTAAGATGCCAAATGGTGCTGGGCTGTCTTTTGTGACGCCAGCTCTTACAAGGGAGTTGCGAACTTAATTTACACTTGTAAGGGAGATAACTAAATTGTGAGTACTAGACAATTTTACTGGACGAGAGATTCCTCCCCCCGCGGACGGCTGTGTGTTCATATCAATATGGGTTTCAGTCAAGGGCACTCCTTGGCAGCCTCTTGGTCAGCAATTGGCGTATCTCTGTTTACAGCCATTCACGGTCACAGCAGCCTGCCATATCCGGGCCTTCTGTTCAAGGCTTTTACTGCTCTGTGTGCCCTGCATACTCCAGGCAAGCAAAAATGGATGTTACAGGGGGGTTCCTGTCTGGCTACAAGCAGTGATTATTTATCACCTGATACTGCTCAGATGGCACACCAGGACTAGGACACTAGGAGGTGAATTAGTTATAAAACAGGATGCTACAACCAAAGGTGATGACAGACTACTATAAAAGGTAGTCTTTAATTTAATGATGGTGGTTTTGCTATAAATAATGAACCAGCCCTAGGAATGCTATAGAAGAGCATGTAAAAAACTGGTCCTAACATGTAGTAGCAAAAACTAATATAAATTCTAATGAAAGGTTCCTTTTGACCATCCAGTCTTCACTCCCACCATAAACTGGATTTTTCTACAAATTCACCCTTCCACAAATCAGCTTCATTCCCTAAGCAGCCTGTTTCCCACACTTAACCCCCACACATGCAAGCAGTGTTGCTCCCAGTCCCAGAGCACTGGGTGGGCAGTGCAGCTCCCAGCACCGGAGCCATCTGGACCCCCAGCCACAGGTTGGCCCCTGCTAGCCCCATCCCAGCCACAGGAGAGCACAGACAGAAAGCAGGAAAGCGTCTGGGGAGAAGGGGACGGAGCAGGGCCACACAAGGGTGTTTGGGGAGTGTTAGCCTCCCCTAGCCTGTATAATTTCCCACCCATGAACCTCTTTCTACCAGTACTTCCCTAACACCCATAAAGGCCACTCCCAACCCCGTATTATTTTCCACACAAACTGGCCTCTGGTTCCTTTATACTGTAGTAGGCTTTCATGGGATGGGGACGGTCAGGATTGCAGAAAATTAAGGAGATGATTTCTGAATCAATAATTCAAAGGCAACCCAAGTTTCACACTGGAACAACTGCAAAGGCAGAGCTCCTAATTTGCACCCTATTTCTCCTTCAAACACACAAAATGGATGTAATGCATGTGTATTTTCATTTCCTATCCTCCAATACTTTGAAAAGTAGAAGCATCCCACACCATAAGCTGGCACCAGAGAAGAGAAATGGTCCATTATTCAGGGCTTGTCTTGACTACATGGTGGATTGATGCTGCAGCAATCAATCATCCAGAGGTTTTATATAATGGAGATTGCCTATCTCCTAGAACTGGAAGGGACCTTGAAAGGTCATTGAGTCCAGTCCCTTGCCTTCTCAGCAGGACCAAGTACCATCCCTGATGAATTTTTGCCCCAAATGGCCTCCATAAGGATTGAACTCACAACCCTGGGTTTATCAGGCCAATGCTCAAACCACTGAGCTATTCCTCCCACCTAAGGGGTGAGAGTGTGTTCTCTGTACCCTTTGCCACCAGCATACTTAAAAAAAAATCTGACTGAAGGCAGAGAAGTTACAAGAACTCCAGGCTGCTCAGGATTATGCATCCATATGAGAAGAAGCTTGTCTGCAGCCCAAATCCAATCCCTATAAAGAAGTAAATGAAGTATAAACCCTGCCTTTAAACAGCAACTCAACCCAAGAAAATTTAGTGTGGGAGACAAGGGTGGCAAACCAACAAGAGCTTCTCTTTTCTTATGAAGGTCATGAAAAGGAGGCTGATGAAAAGACTGCTTTAACAAGTGGAATGACTGAATGTAATAATGACTAGTTGGATCCCTTGGCCTCCTTTAAAAAACAAACAAAAAATAACCCGACTGAAATTTAAAAGACATCAATCCAGCAATGTTAATTGGTGCCATGAGAACAAACATGGGATATAAGTTTCGTGAAAGAAAATGTGTAATTGCAGAGTGAATAGGAAACCATTAAACAGAATGAAAAAGCAAAGGGAGGAGAAGCTGCATGAATGCATAAAATCTGCATGGCAACTGTCTCAGTTATAATAACAGTGAGGGCTTAGGCTGGTTTTCTTTAAATGTCCCTCATTGGCACTCGGTTTGTAGGGTTGCTAGGTGTCCCGTTTTGAACTGGGCAGTCGAGTATTTAAGCTTTCTGTTCGGGAAACAAATTGAAAAAATAGAAATAAGAAAATAGAAATGTCCGGTATTTTCTAAATAAGATGTAATGTAGATAGCGTTGTAATGTAAAGTGTGTCCGGTATTTTTGTTGGAACCATCTAGCAACCCTATAAGTGTCGCCCACTCTAGCTTGTCTCCTCATCCCGGGGTTTTTCTGCTAGATCCGTGGTCACCAACCGGTCGCTCGTGAGCTACTGGTCGATCTCGAGGCCTCGACCAGTCGCTCGCGAGGCGTCCTGTAAGCCCTGCCCCCATTTCCCTCCCACCCCCCAGAAGCTCTACTACTTACCTCCAGAGAAGACAGAGGTAGTGTCGGCTTCCGGCGCGCTGGGGTTTGGTCCTGGGGCTTCCCGGTGCGGGGAGCGGGTTGGCACCAGGACAAGCTGCCGCGGGGCTTCCCAGCGCGGGTAGGGCGGGTCGGCGACCTGGGCAGGCGCGCACAC